CCAGTCATAGTTGTGAGCGGGAATCAAACTCTGGTTGCCGAGTTTGTAGCACAGTGCGCTGACCGCTATGCGTGTGCTTGTACATACACACACGCATGCACATATACACACACACACACACATGTCGCTACTATCATCTGCAGGGCATTAATACATTGGTGGAATTTTGGCCCAAAACCTACAGAGCTCAGCAGAGGGGTGGCTGCCCTCTAAAAGCATTCACCAAGAAGTAAACATGAATTTTGTAAAAAAAAAAAGGTGAAATGATAAACTTTCAGCCTTGCACGTCACAGCTGGCAGAAAGGCCTCCACAAGCAGGGGAACCCTAAAGAGCCACTGTAGAGGGAATGTGGCCTACTATTCCATGCTGGTGAAACATCCTTGCCGAGGTATGAGTACCTACACTTTATCCTACCAAGCGCGACCCACCGATTAACTGTGGTCTACCCTGCTGGGTGAACAGAGGCGAGGGATTTAAGTAACTTATCCATCATTTCAACTTCCACACTGGCAGGTCGACATGGTGACCTTAAGATTGCAAATCCAGAGTGCTAGCCATTACACCGCGACAGCTCTTGACAATCTATGTATGTTTGTTGAACTTCTTTCGCATCTTACATAGCCAACCGTGTTAATTGGAGGTATGGGAAAATTTCCCAAATATACTAATTTGGACGCTCTTGAAAAAGTATCTTGAGACTCAGGAATATTTTTGTTGGTAAGTTAGTGAGGCAACATCTATTATTGTACTGTACCATGTTCCCATGTTTATGCTCTCAGAATTCACCAACCCACGCTTACCAGTGTGGTGAAGTATGGTAAAATAACTTCCGTGACCCGCACGGCTTGTGGAAGTCTTCATCTAGGAATCAAACTCAAGTTGCCAGGTTTGTATTGTGCAGTGCACAAACAACGTTTGTCGCAACTTCTCACACAACCACCTAGACAAAGATGCCCCATGCAGCCTACAAAATGAAGTAACTGTGGATAACACCGAAAGTTTGGCATGGGCACAGGAATGACGTCCACGCAATGCATATGCACACAAGAATACTGTATGCCGTGAAAACATCAATAACAGCGGACATAAAGTGGAGCGAAAATTATTATTTCAACCGTTTTTTTTTTCCTCCTCCCACCAAATGCACCATTAACGAGTAATTGGCGCAATCCTCCGAGCCACGTGTTTCCACGAGACTCGTGTCCTAACATCACCAAGCCAAGTGCGCGTAACTCGGACAAACGGCGGGACACGGGGCCGTATAGAAATCTTGCCGTCGCGGGGCTAGCAAATGAAACATATAAATAAAGGACCCTGCGCGAATACTTCCAGCGGAACACAGCCATTGCATGCAATGAACGTGTGGAACACAGCCATTGCATGCAATGAACGTGTGGCTGTGACCACATTCCAAACCCCCCCCCCCCTGCCGGCCGCCTCCCCACCTCTAAAAGAATGTCAGGGTCAGATGCTTTCGCCGCTTGTCCTTGGGATGCAACTGCAAGATTTCGGGGATGCGTGCGAGTTACGTCTGCGCGACTCTAGCCTCCCAAATTCCCAACGCAGTCCCTATCACGGGAGCAGGGCAACACCACGAGTCGTTCTTTCTGAAAGTGGACAGCTAAATAGGGCGCTGGTTGAGTTCGGGGGTACAGGACCCCCCTGGTGCAGTTGCCTTCACTGTGCCTTGAGGTTGAAGGTTTAACCTCTCAGAGAGGCCAGTGGCCCTCACAACCAGGGCAGCAGGGCAGTGGGGCCCTGGGTAAATAATCTGTTGATGGCGAAAGTCAGATGAGCCTAAAGTAGGCCAATGTCGATACAGAAACACTGGGAAAGGAGTGGCTACGGAACGTTGCCTTGTTCCAGCCACCAATCACCTTACCAAGCGTTGTTCCACGATCTATATCAATTAACTTAAGTGGCTGGTCATTATTATTAAAATATATGATCCTTTCTTGAATTTAATTACCACTTAATAATTCGATCGCATGCCCTTTGAGGCTTTGATTGGTAGACACGCTGTGGTGGCGAATTAGATAGAGAAGGTTAAATACTTTAATGTCCGTGTCGTTATTGTTAACGACACAAGCAGCAATTTCCATGATGAACAGCCAGGCCTATTCCGATGTTTCTTGTGGGAATTGCTTGACACTGTGAATGTGTTCACATCAAAACATTCCATAGGTCTTTGTTCTCTGCGACTGTACTGATTACACTTAACGAATTACTCTATAATGCATGTGTACATATGCAGCGATGTTGCGTCAAGGATTGTTTGAAAGCATATTCAACAATCACTTGCTTCGCCCTCAAGTTAAGCTAATTATGAAGCCTCTTTAAGTTTTTCACTATTTTCTCACTTTGGAGAGAGTTATAATTGAGGGCACTGAGGGTTAATGCAAAGCCGGCAAGTCCACAATGCACTTTTAACGATTGCATTATAACAACTATTTAAATACCCTTTGTGTATATATATATTTCTTTTCAAATGTCGCACAAGCAACACTTGTTAGATGAGCAAACAATAATCGTGTAGAATGTGCTCTATTTATCGGGTTGGTTTCATAGCAGGAGAAAAAAAAAACGCTGAGTCCAAATCTGCTCATTAATCCACACACAAGTGCTGTCATAAAGCCCAAGCACAAACGCGCTAATGAGGCCCTGTATCAAATCAACTCTTTTACAGCACGACATCCCTGCAGATTTACTACAGCCGAGAGCGCAGATTAATGCGGCAACCTAAATTTAACGGCAAACGCATAATTTACATTTCGTCTTTGTTCCAAAAACGTACAGGTTAAAGTCACAGCCCTGCAACTGCACCGCTCATGTCATCGCTGGCAAAAGCACCTCTCGGCGGTAGTTTGGCCTACGCTTCAATGCTGGCCAGATATCTCGGGGGAAAAAAAGTTGGGTTATACCCCACACTTTACCCCTCCACACGCAACCTGCCGATCGACTTAAGTATGGTGAACCCATTTCTACTGCTGGATGGACAAGAGGTCCAGGGGGCATTAAAGAAACTTGTAAAATATTTTAAACTGTCATGGCGAGCGAATGAATCGATTCGGCCACCTCTGGATTGCAAGTCCAGTGCACCTGAGCATTATGGAACAGCAGCATCCTTGTAAACGCGAGCGAACAACCACCAAGTAAAATAAATTAACGGTTTGAACGTTTGAAAAATCGCTTTCGCATCATCACTCCCCATGAAGGGAAAGTGCCCGAAGTGAGAGATCATTTGTTTTTTTTGTCAAGAGGCATTTATATATTATATTGTTACAGCAGAATACCTTATACTATTGCTTATACATTGGTGTGTGCGAATGATGACAGAAGGCAATTTCACTCCAGAGAAGATGGCATGCTAAATTCCACTCTCGCCCACCCCTAGCCCCGAAACCCCCACTGCCCCTCCTCCCCCTTGCTCCTGACACTTCCCCAGCACGCAGTGGTCAGCCACTTGAGCTGGTAAAGTGAAACGAAACTTTTTACATTTTATTTTACCAGGTAAGGCCCACCTGAGCTATAAATCGCTCTTTTTCAGAAGTGACCTGGCCACAAATGATAGCTCAACGAAGGAGCTGATCACAATGTGGACATTTATAGCAGTCAAATACTCTAAACGCATGTTGATTCTAAAACGTGGAGGTTAAAAAACCGGCAAAACCGGAGGAGCCGAAGAAAAATCCATGTGACCACGTTAAGACACGCAAACTCCAAATATCCAGGCTTCAGGGCAATCGTCGAAACCAAAGGGCCATTTCTCCACCCGACGGATGCATTTTTTTTACTTCTGTGAAATTCATCCCACCTGCCAGCGCCACGGTCGCTCGTTAAACAAATCAAATATTATTACTGCCATCAGTTGTCACCGTGATCTTACCGCCGAGGGATTAGTGACAGCCGAACCATGAGAAACTAAAAACACACCCTTGAAGAATATTAATCATGCACAGGTCACACGTCCTTAACACTGCTCTATGAGAGAGAGTTTGGTTTTAGGCAATGCCCTTTTTGAGGCAACGACACCGTCAGTGTTTATAACGAGAAATCAATCTCTGCCCGCTCTCTGTTTTGAATAAGGGCCATTGCCCAAAACGTTAGTATCCCAGTATATATTTTTTGCAAAGTGTTGAGATGGTGGAAGTAATGATACTCGCGCTCCAAACCCACAGTATTCTCGTGATTCATGATCACAGTTCGATTAAACAATTAATATCTCTGTCCAATATTTACTATCCTGCTTTTATTGAGTCCCAGTAGTTTGTTGTTCCCTTTGCAAGTTTTGTTCACAGTGCGTTTGAAACATTAGCATAGCTTTTGCATTATTTGGAAATAATAGGTTCTCTCACACGTATAATTCCGTGCATATAAAATGCGAGCGTAAGAATCCACACGTATTAACACCTCCACCGTTGCATGCCTAAGTGTTAATGACGAGTGCATGTACACAGCTGCCAATTGAGCTCCTTCATTCGTTAGAATTGAGATATTAGTATTCGCGCTTTTATAGTGCAAGGTGATCAAAAATATGTCGTGTTTCATTAGTGCTGACTTTACCCAATTTTTTTTTTCGCTATTTGTGCTTGTGCATCGATAACCACAATGCAGCAGCAGCAGCAGCAGCATCAACAAACAATTAGTTTACCCCAAAGAAGCGATTTGAGTGTATTTCACGGTCAAGTTATCTACATCTGTTCACGGGACACGTGCTAAACATTTCATGCTCATTAATTGGCTGTAAACGTCTTAATATATTGGGGACCACAAAGCTTGGGCAAGTGTTGGCACCGGCTTGCCACCTGGCTGCCTTTTCCGCTTGTTTGTAGTTGCTTGCACCTCTCAGAAGTTCTCTCTCTCTCTCCAAAGAGTTGAACGAATACTCTGCAGCTCGTTTCAATTTGAAGTGATTATTTACAACAATGATAATTATTTATTTACAAACAACAGCAGCTAGAGGCCACAGCCAACAAAACAGCACCGGAAGCACACTGACCGTGCCAGCAGGCCCCGATGGCGAGCTGCGATTGGCTCTTTCCCGGCCGGATTGGCCAATCGTCGGTGACGAGGTAGGGCTGGTAGGAAACCCCGTCGACGTACAGCGTGACGGTGGGCGTGTCCACCGTGATGACGTAGTGATGCCACTCCTTGTCGCACACCTGTTGGGACGTCACAGACGCACAAGACAAAGATCATCCGCGTGTAGCCTTAACAGAGACCTTTGGGGGAAAGTGCTGTTCAGCGAGTAGCACCTATGAAGGCAGCTGACAGCAACACCAGGAAGTGGGCGTGACCGACACCACACCTGTTGGGACGTCACACGGGCATAAGTCGTGTTGCCTTCTTTGTTCACGTTTTTTTTGTTTGTTGCGGTTGCACCCGAGTCAAGAGCCGCATGGCTCACAGAGCCATACCTAATAAATGAAACTGAAAGAAAAAAAACCAGACAGATTCTTGGGAGCTAGTGCTGAAATCGAGAAGCACCTGTGCAGGCCGGCACGGCACACCAGGGGGATGAATGGCCTTTTGTCTCCCTAGTGGCGCTGTTCACACACCGCACCAGGTGCTCATTTGAGGCCGAGTCGACCTGGGGGAGGGCCCATCGACCGGTTCAGATAATCGTGACTGGTGTTGGTGGCCGTGAGATAGAATTGAACTCTGGTCGCCGGGTTCGTAGCGGAGGCTGCTAACCCGCTAGGCTGTATAAGCTACCTGCAAAAGGCACTGGCCTATTGAAACCGGGGCATTGAAACCATCGATCCGGCGACCTCTGGATTGCAAGTCCGGTGTGCCGACCCATAATGCCACGGTAATATCCCAAAATAAATGTGAGCAATAACGCGCACGGCCTGCAGGGGGCAGTAGAGGTAAGCAGGCCCTTGATCTATCCGTGAGGAATGTGGACTGATATACTTCCTTACTCACGTGTGGGATTTTCTCCAGGCTTTCATAAGGGGCCGTCCATAAATGACGTCACGCGATTTTGGACGATTTTTGCCCCCCCCCCTCGTCACACGGCGTCACAAAAAGTCAGACCCTCCCTCCAATATGACGTCACAAAGCTCTGCCCCCCCCCCCCCCCCCAAATAAAACATGCTTCAAATCGCTTTAAACTATTGTCATTGTAGTGCGTATTTAATGTGGCGCTGCACTCTGATGTTGTAGGAGAAAACATTTATTAAAAAGTCTATTTAATTAAGTAGAACATATTCTTAGCTCTTTCGGTAAAGTCACGTTGAAGGGAAACAATAAAATAATAATATATTTTAATATTTTTTTTTGTTTCCCTTCAACGTGACTTTACCGAAAGAGCTAAGAATATGAATTACTGCAGTCACGAAAGCTTTAAATCAAAATTTAAGTAGAACGTGTTGTCTATACTTATTAAAAGTTGCGCATTTTGATGTGACGTCACATTTCTCAACCCCCCCCCCCCCCCCCGTCGTCACAAATGTCTGACCCCCCCCCCAGGTGCGTGACGTCATTTATGGACGGCCCCTTACCGAGTATCCTGACAAATGCACGAACCCACAGAGAGCTCACTGTCCATAAAGTAAGCTTGGACTTGACAGTCGGTGGATCAAGTGGACGAAGAAAGTGAATTGTTACAATTGTCTTCTTTGGTTCTTTCGGTAAAGTCACCACGTAGAATGAGAATAAAATAATAAATTGATAAAATAAAATAACACAATAAAATTATCACGACGTTTCGGCCACAACACAAGCGGCCTTCATCAGGTGAAGGGATGAGACTGTCTGGAGGACAGCGCTGTTACAATTGTGATCTTATTTACGGGAAACCGATACAATGAAAGATATTAAAAGTCAATTATCAATCGAGCAAAATGAGACCACAATGGGTTATAGATTTATGAAAAAATGTGGGCTATCAAGTCTTTTTCTTTTTTTTTCCAGGATAATCCCCTTAATTCCTCGCTAAAGCAAAACGAACTGGCTAAATGACAAGATGCATAACCTTCCTGAAATAAATATATTTAACTCATTTGAGTCTTTTGGGATAAATAATATTTGAATCTATAGAACGATTTACTGTACTATGCATAGACTGCCAGTCCTTGAAACCGCGTTTGCAGCAGTTGATACAAAGCCATAAATTAGCATTCAGAACACACTTTCAGTGCCAATTTAAACATATAACCCACTGCTTTTCATGTCTTAACCCATCGTGTGAATGGATTTTTCTCCAGGATCCCTAGCAGTTTTCTCCCATACGTACAAAAAAAAAAACCTCAAAAGACACTTGCACAAATATCTAAAACCACGACGCGAATGAAACAAATAGTTTTGAGGACCTCAGGCAAGTCATTTCCGACCGGCGAATTCAAACCGTCGCGATAAAACTGCTCGTTATTGGCCCCGTCACTTGGCGGCGGCGGGATGACACCCCGACTTACGATGGGGAGCTCCGTACAGACAAGACCCATGGGAAACGCGATGGCCTGCCCCCGTTGCAAATCTGGGAGCAAGCTGAGGTCCCACTCCCCCTCTCCTGCCACCCGTTAAGGTTGAGGGGTGGTGTGGGGGTAGGGCTGAACGATTAATCGATTTCAAATCGAAATTTGAAACAGTGCGATTAGCAAATCGCAAAGGCTGCGATTTTTGCGATTTGAAAAGTCCTATTACTTTAATGGAATTGTTTCATTTTTTATTACAACATTTAACTTGACAATTGTTCTATGTTTCATTGTTCTATTTAAATCTTTTTAAAAAAATAAATGCATGTTGGAAGCAATTAATATATTTTTTAAGTTATCATCCTTGCATTAGAACATATAGAGCAGTTCATATTGTGATGGTATCACGTGGTAATGCTCCATCACATGTTTTAAATACATTACACAGTCAATATTGAACTGAAGCTTGACTTGATTTTTTTATCGCAAAGTCAGAAAAATCGCAAATAGATATAATCTCCCATCAACACTGCTATTGTGCGCATATGCGGCGACGATACTCTTGTGCGGCGACGGAAGCTAATTTTTTCATGCTAATCTCCCTCCATAATCTCCCCCATTAACACAACTGACGTGCTTGCGTCCGGGGATGGAATTCCTTTCCAGCTCAGTCCCCGCTTGCTTGCCCGTCGCCACATAAACAACCTCTTGTTGTTGTCACAGCTCTCTCGCTGGTTCAGCAGTTCCACTGCTTGAATATTTTTTCCGCCTTGAGGACGACCGCTTGTGTTGCGATCCAAATGTTTTTATTTTATTTTTCTACCTACGTGACTTTACCGAAAGAACCAAAGGTTGTGGATATATTCCCCAAATGGTTCAGCCCTGGTGCGGGGTGGGAGCGGTAACCGCCGTCCGTCGGTCGGTCGGTCGGGCGCGCTTGCAACGATGGACTCCCGAGACCACGCGCCGCTCGGCAAAAAATAAACGTAAAAAAAAAACCCTCTCCGTGTGCCTCGGAGTCAATTGTGTTGCATCGGAGGTCGCCGTGTGCCAAGCCGGTCGGAAAAACATTTCCACCCTCCCACCCGTCTGAAATCCGCTCGCTTGCCCGTCACACTCCCAATTAATGGCCACACCGCCTGCATCACCACCCCTCCCCCCCCCCCCCACTGCCATCGCGATGCCACCTTTAATAAACAGCGATTGGAGAAAATGTACACAAAGCAGGGAGAGCCTCCTAATGAGCCGGAGCATCCATATTTTGTTGTTGTTACGAGCCCGAAACGTAGCGAAAACAGAATAAAACATTTCTAGCCGCAGAAGTTTGTGTGTTCATTTCACAGCAGCGACGGTTTGAGTCGGGTGAACGCGGTTCACCGTCGCAGCGAGATTTTAACTTCAGCGGCTGTAATCGAGCGATGGAGGCGTATGGCGGACTCGTAGATTAATCGATTGACATCAATTCTCGAGCCCAACGAATCGCGTGTCACACCGAGTACAATGGGGACTCGTCGACTCATCGATTAACATCGATTGTTGAGCCTAGTAAATCGTGCTTTACACACCTTCCCACAAATGGACAGCGAGCATCGCAATCAGCTCCGTCTGCAGGGGTTACGATTTATCGTTGCATCGCAGCACTCTGGGAAATTACACCTTGGAGTGACCTTCATCCAGCAGCAGACTGACCACGGCTGATGAGAATGATGACGATGCTGACAATGATGCCAATGTGATGCCGGCGATGACAATATGTTGTCCGTGCGGGGCTATGCTGCTCTTTGCAGCGACTAGAGGCACTACGATTTACCACTGCGCTTAAAAATACAAAAGGAACAGAGATTCTATCCGTGATCCCGAATCGCAACACTCCATTCAGTTTGCAACGCTATGGGGTGAATCATTGGTCCCCATTAAAGTTACGCCCCAGTAGTGGGAGAGAGTAATTAAAGATCCATAAATAAAATGCAATGCACCATCTGTATTCCCTACGTTTCGCATTAAGATAAAATATAAGACAGCTCTATAATAGAGGGAAACAAAAATCACTACGATTACTATACCACCGCGGTCGCAGACGTAAACAAAGCTGCAGTGTTCATTAAGCCATAAATATGAACATCATTCTTCTTCTGGAGGGGTGATTACGCGTTGAGGCCACTATCCATCTCTGCCAGCAATGATCAGCGGATTCAACGTGAAGACGTTAATTGATGAAGGGATTTGTTAACGGTGGGAGACCGGGCCAGTCATAAAGCGCGCTTGGAATACAGAGGACCGTCGGGAGTGACTTACTCGTAAATCAAAAAGAAGTCAGGAGCAGCGGTGGCTTGTGGGTAAATATATTGGCGGGACACGGAGAGATAGGGTAGTGGCGTATGCTGCTAATTATATTCATAATGAGCACATATAAATATATAAAATCAGAACTGTTTCGTCCCTACGCAAACAAAATATTGAATACTATCTGCCTGTTGGCTTTTTAGAGTGAAAATATCGAGCAGGATTTGTAGAAACAAGCAAGCAAACTCCGGATTGGTTTCCACCTTCTTGGGTCTCATCAGCAGTGTACAGGCTTGCCAAACACATGCTTCTGGAGTACACCCCTTACTATGCACCAAAGGAAGTACCTTACTTGTTGGGGTTGAAAGGGGACCCTTAATTTCAATGGAGTGCTCATACCAATAAGAAATGGTAATCCATCAGCATTAGTTTATTAAGCCTGACCCTGCTGTTGAGACCCAGAATGTCAAAACCCAGTCCAGAGCTTGCTTGCTTGTACAAATGCTGCTTGATAATATTGGCCTGGAAAGCTGATAGGACTGGAATTTTTTAAATATTTGTTTTAAACTGTGTGTCGAGTTCTAATTATTTATGGCCCCCACGGCAAATGCCCAATATAATGCGCAGGTGAGTGGAGGGTGAGTAATGGAGGTGAGTGGAGGGTGAGTAATGCAGGTGAGTGGAGGGTGAGTAACACAGGTGAGTGGAGGGTGAGTAATACAGGTGAGTGGAGGGTGAGTAATGCAGGTGAGTGGAGGGTGAGTAATACAGGTGAGTGGAGGGTGAGTAATACAGGTGAATGGAGGGTGAGTAATACAGGTGAGTGGAGGGTGAGTAATGCAGGTGAGTGGAGGGTGAGTAACGCAGGTGAGTGGAGGGTGAGTAACACAGGTGAGTGGAGGGTGAGTAATACAGGTGAGTGGAGGGTGAGTAACACAGGCGAGTGGAGGGTGAGTAACACAGGTGAGTGGAGGGTGAGTAACACAGGTGAGTGGAGGGTGAGTAATGCAGGTGAGTGGAGGGTGAAGTAACACAGGCGAGTGGAGGGTGAGTAATACAGGTGAGTGGAGGGTGAGTAACACAGGTGAGTGGAGGGTGAGTAACACAGGTGAGTGGAGGGTGAGTAACACAGGTGAGTGGAGGGTGAGTAATGCAGGTGAGTGGAGGGTGAAGTAACACAGGTGAGTGGAGGGTGAGTAATGCAGGTGAGTGGAGGGTGAGTAACGCAGGTGAGTGGAGGGTGAGTAACACAGGTGAGTGGAGGGTGAGTAATGCAGGTGAGTGGAGGGTGAGTCATGCTAAGGGTTTGCTATGCTTGTTCTATTTTCCCAACAATGGGTCTGGCCACTCGAGTACTCAAGTATAAAACTATATATATTTTTAACAGGTAAGGCCCACTCAGCTTTATGGATCTTTTTCAGAAGCGACCTGGCTATCACGAATTATAGCTCGACTGAGTGGCTCATCATCACGTGAAAATGTGCAGCAGCCAAATAACTCTAAACACACATTGATTCTAAATGCGGAGGGGAAAAACCGGAGGACCCGGAGAAAATCCACACGACCACCGGGAGATAGACACTCAAACTCACACTATCTCGACGAGCTGTCCACGATGCGCTATGGTGTATACAAAAGTTCAGGGTTTCAGCGCAATCATCCTCGCTGCGTTTCGACATCGTGGAGTAGCACTGATTTCAGATTGATTGGTACCCCAGTCGTGGAGTGAAGTACACCCCTGGAAAGAATAGTGTCCCAGAAATAACTTATTTAATTGCCTCGGCCATTTTGTATTATTTGGTACCCCGGGATACCGCCATAAAGAGCATATGCAGGGCGTCAGGGTCGGGATCGAACCCACGACCTCCCGTACACTAGGCGAGGTAGCTAACACCTGGCCACTCCGGCGAGCCATCGCTGGGTGCAAGGAGTCCCCCCCCAGTGCCCTTCCCCCCCCATACCTGGTCCAGCTTCCAGTGGAACTCGGCGGGGCGGAACGTGTCCGTCTGGGAAAACTCCGACCGGAGGAGAAAGACGAGGCGGCAGTTGTGTATGTAGAGCGAGTAGTGGTGGCGGTTCATACCTGGGGAACACAAAGACAAACATTACACCACCCCCCACCCACCGTTATAGCCTTGTATACTGTCAAAGGGAGGAAAGTGCTGGTAGCAAGCATCTAAAAGAAAAAGATCCCCCCCATATAGTCTGTAACAGACTGTTGGGGCAAATGCTGTTAAGCGAGCACCTATGAAGGCCGGCACGGCACACAATGGGGTCGGGGTGGCCAGCACCACGCCGAGCCGCCTTTGTCTTCCTAGTGGTGATGTTTAGAAATCACGGCAGGTACTCATTTCAGGCCGAGTCAACCTAGGAGAGGCCCAAGACCGGTTCCAATAATCATCACCGTTATTGGTCATGAGCGGGAAATGAACTCGGGTTGCAGGGTCCGTACCGCAGTGCGTTAACCGCTGCGCCACCGCTCATATACATAGAGACCCTTGGGGCAAGTGCTGTTAGTGAACACCTATTAAGGCCGGTATGGCAGTTGGTGTTGACAGGGTACATGGCCAACCCCTTATCAGTGCCTACTTTATTACAGACCAATTCAGACCTTATTGGTCACCCCCGTGCTCTCGTAAATCTCAACGTTCATCCTACAAAGTGTCATGACAAGGGAGAAACAAACAAATAGATGTTTGTTGTTGCCCGAATTTAAACGGCTGTACGTCGCCGTATGGACCTGAAAACTCTATTTCCCTGTACAAGAAGACGGGTAAACCGTGTGGGTTGACAGGCGTGCCAACACCATGCCCATTCGCATTCGTCTCCACAGTGCTTATATTTTACACATCGCTCCAGGAACTCATTTAAGACTGAGTCGCAACCTAGGAGAGGCCAAGGACCGATTCAGATATCTCTCGTCACTCCATGAGGTTAGCTGTGGCCTGGAATTAAACATTTAAACATTTTTATTTTATTTTACCAGGTAAGGCCCACTGAGCTATATAGCTCTTGTTCAGAAGGGACCTGGTCACAAATGATAGCTCAACGAAGTGGCTTATCGCCTTGTGGACATTTACAGCGGCCAAATACTTTAAACGCGTGATGTCGATTCTAAAAGTGGAGGGAAAAACCGGAGAACCCGGATTAAAAAAAGTCACGCGTCAGGGTCGGGATCGAACCAAGGTCCTCCTGTATACCAGGCGAAGTAGTTAACATCTCGTAGCCACCATGGCACTCTGGAGCTGCCAGGTCCACAGCGCGGCTCGCAATCCACGGATCTGACCATGAATGCGATGCGCTCTGCTGGTGACCGATGGGAGACAAGAGAGAGAATTGATTCCCGACCGCTCGTCGTGATTATGACAGCACTATTCAGCTATGACCGGTGAAGGATACTCATGAGGAATACCAATATACCTACGGTGAAGAGACAACCTAATTTCAAGCAAATTTGCTTCGGGGCTATAAACATGATTACGCTTGGATTTAATGCTCGTATGTTTCTATATCGCTCTCTCAGCATTATCCTAACGTCTCTGTTTATTTTTCTTTTAACTGCCATAGTGCAAGGGGTGCGAGGGGAAGAGGAGGGAATCTTCGTTAACGGCATGCCGGCTGTTTGAAACTACCGAGCTAATTTGCAGCGAGCCCAATTTGAGTCTTCAAAATGTTTAACTGCAAGGCAGTGATTTCATTGAGAAACGAAAATGCTGTTTTCGAAAGATCACTGAAACTAGGCAGATGGTTAATCTCTCTCCCATAGGCTTTCATGTCCTCGCATAATAACCGGACTGAGAGGTGACAGATGTATACTTTTTTTTGCAAACGTTTAATCCGGCGCTGATATCAGAACTAAAAGTAGCGGCAAGCAGCTGCTGTTAATGTGGGGAAAAAAAAAAACCATTTTAAATTTAAATGTCATTTTTACAAGGCCTATCTCGCTTCATGCATTTGATCAAAATTAGATTAATATCTTGCAAGTACTGTATTCGTATCTTCAAGTAGGTCACAGTGTTAATCCACAACTTTGTAATTTGCGGTGGTGAAGTGAGAGATACATCGGAGAGAGTAGAGGAAAGTTTAACAGGCCATTCTTGCACTAACAGTTTGACGAGGAATTTTTTTCATCTTTAAAAAAAAAGACTTTTGAATAACACAATTTGCTAAATGTATTGCGAGATTTAATTTATTAGGACGTGGCAGACAAAAAAAACACTTCAGTCTCAGAAAATCCCCGGATTAAAAAATGCTACACTGTATTCCAGTTAGTAGCGATGGGGATTAAGTAGTGTTTGTGTGTGGGTCGGCGGTCACACAAACCGTGCGCATTGATGGCCGAACATCCGCCACCGATCGTGGCTCCCAACAATCAACAAGGCACTCGCGCTCCCCATGCTCCTCCCTGAGGGCACCGCGGTGGAGAGATGTTAACTCCATCGCCTGGTATACAGGAGGTCGTGGGTTTGATCCCGACCCTGATGCCTCTGCATTTGGAGTTTGTGTGTTTTCATCGTGGTCCCGTGGATTTTTTTTATCTGGATTCTCCGTTTTTTTTTCCCTCCAAAATTCAGAAATGCGCGTTTACAGTACTTTGCCGCTATAAATGTCCACATGGTGATAAGCCGCTTCGTTGAACTATCATTTGTGGCCAGGTCTGCTTCTGAAAAAGAGCCAAGGGATCAGTGGGCCTTACCTGGTAAAATAAAAAAAATAGTTAATGAAATGGTAAAAAAAAGAAAAGTAAAAAATTCTTGACGCAATCCAAATCGAGGCGGATTACGTTGGACTAATGAGCTTTGTTATTGCAAGAGGATGGAATTATGACGTCGATGTGTCTGGGAGCCTCCCTGTGACATTATGTGTGACCTGACACATCGTGGCTGGTAGTGGAACATCCACGTATAACTGCACCGCCATCGTGCTCGTTATTGCCTCTGAATGTAAATTTTTTTTCAACGCCAGTTCAAAGAGAGACACAAAGCAAGAGGGTACACGTTTTTTTTTTTTTCCCCAAGTGACCAGCGCATCAGAGAGAGTAATCTCAGCGGTTGTGATATTGGGGATCGAGAGAGAAACGGAAAGAGAGGAAGAGTAAGACGGATGGGAATTGATAGAAACAGAATAAGAAAAGGAGAAAGAGGAATCGAGTAACGGGCAGAAAAAACCGTTACGGGAGAGGGGAAGTCATATCTCAAAGAGAATCACCTATTACCACAGCGCAACTTGGCATATATTTGGCCAAAGTTAGAAGGCTGCTGTGCTATCTGGATTGGAGCACTCAGTTCCTACCTCACTGCACGTGAGAGCTTTCAGAGTAAAGCAGTCAGGTTGATTGATGACCCAGCATGCAACCGATTCACTAAAGTCGTTTGCTCACGCAGGTAAAAAAATAATAAGAAAATTTGCACTGCTATGTCTGGCCAATATTACGGGAGGCAACCGGGAGAGCCCGTTGAAAATCGGTGCAGAACTCTCGACCAGCGGGGGTTTCCCAACATTTGGAGTTTGCGGATCCCCCTTTGTCGACCTCCAAACATTTCGCCGGACGACCACGCGCCACGGGATATTTGAAATTGGTGAGGATATTATTATTTTTCTATTCCATTGAAACCGCCCCACAGCCCCCCCCCCCCTCCCGTTGTAGCCTCCGGAGTTGTTAGTGCTCCCCCTGTGACATGCGCCTCCCCCCCCCCCCTAGACGTTCAAGGGTGAGGGCATCGTGTTCGTCTGGAACGTATAAGGTGGCGCAATTCTTTTAACTGACAAACTGTCCAAAAAAAAATATTGCCCGAATTGTTTTGTCAGGACTCTCATTCTCACCGATACGTGGAAAGGGGTTTGTGCTTACATTTTCCCGCCAGGTGATTTAGAACTAAGGCAAGCACTTGTTTATATTAAACGAGTCATAATTCAAACGGACTTAATAGGTTGCGGTTATGCTTCTGTGCTCCTGGCATCCGCGATGAATTTCTCTTGCGCGCGCGCGCGCGGGCACACATATACCATTTTTATAATAGCCGTGCGGCGAGCACGGCTGTGCAGAGACCGTGGAGATGCTGTTATTCTTGCAAGATCAAACTTAAAGTATTACCCCCCCCCCCCCAACTCTTTAAACAAAACGTTGTTATTACCTTATCAGGGCATGTGTGCGTACAACATTCAGAAAAGTTGGCATGCCATTGTAGCAGAGCCGACTGTGACCATGAAAAGCAACACACGCCACTTGAGCGTCCTGCTATGACGTACGGTTGTTCAGAGACGCAGACATTATCTAAGGACAATGGGAAACAATAACTGAACAGTGCACAGAGAAGCATGCAGAGGTGATGAATGTGCTTGGAATCACACTAATAGACTCTGAGCTACGGAGTTTTAAATCTAAATAGATTTTATTCTCAAGAACTGCATTTTGTTTTTAGTTTGTTGTGCTTCCCGGGCACCTCCGATTAGCACGGTTGGCTACGTATGGTGCGAAGGAAATCCAACACACATACATTAGAGAACACGCGCAGGCTGATGGCAGCATTACAAATTTTAAGAAATGTATTTGGGCTTGGACAGGACACGTTACTGGGAAAGGAAGATGGCCGATGGAAATTATGGAGTGACAGCCAAGGAATGGAACGCAAACGAGAGGGTCAACGGATGAGAGGGCCGGCGGACGAGAGGGCCGGCGAACGAGACAGAGCGATGGAATGAGCTCGTTTTCAGGTGTTTGGTAGATTATCAGACCGCAGGGTGATTAAGAGATGGCGGCGGTGGCAGGGGCTTAGTAGAGAGGCCCTCATACAGCAGTGGATTGATGATCACAAATGATCATGACGTTCGAGAAATGTGCACCGTTATGTATGTGTAAACATATGTAGTGACTGGGAATGTCACCGCGTGGTGCCGGGCCTGCGAGGCCAATGCGGGATTGTACACTATTGTGTGTACACCCCGGACACGAGGTGTAGTACCAGCCCTAGTGGGGGCTTGGGTGAGCGCTGGTTCAGCGCGGTGGCACCACGCACAGCGTGCGGTGCGGGCTCCCGTTGAGAGTGCGAGAGAGCGTCAGCCAGCTGGGGGTTACGTTGGGGGCATGATACTCTGGCTGACCTGGGGACACGTGCCCAGATGATACTGGAGGGGGGCCACCGGTGGAGGGGGCCAATGGGTGGTCACATGGTCCGGGAAGAACTTTCGAGAGCCTTCGGGCAAGGGCGAGAGATCGAGAAGGTGGGCGGGGCGAGAGGCAGAGCCGGCCCCAGCCCGGCCCGATATAAGGGGGGGGGGGGGCCTGTGAGGGGCTCGGGGTTCTTACTGTTGGAGAGGCAGGAGATCCACGTCAAGCTTGAAGAAGCCTCCAGCCACATGGTCCGGGACCCAGCTTGTAGGCCGGACCGGGATAGTGGAACCGTGTTTTGTTCCGCCGTAGCATGGTTAGTTGGAGGGTCACCACCCGAGTGTGTGTTGTGTTAATAGCCTGGAGTATGTTGTGTTAATAGCCTGGAGTGTGTTGTGTTAATAGCCTGGAGTATGTTGTGTTAATAGCCTGGAGTATGTTGTGTTAATAGCCTGGAGTGTGTTGTGTTAATAGCCTGGAGTATGTTGTGGTAATAGCCAGGAGTATGTTGTGGTAATAGCCAGGAGTGTGTTGTGTTAATAGCCTGGAGTGTGTTGTGGTAATAGCCAGGAGTGTGTTGTGCAAAGAGTTTAATAAAACGTGTTGCTACCAAGACAACGTCTGCGACTCAGTTGGACATTAATAAAATATATCAACCCCAAAAATGTATTTTAGTTCCGATGAATTAAGATCTCTCCATATTGAGTAACTGTGCCTTCGATAAAAATCAAGCTCGAGACAAAACCAAGAGGTCTCCTCCCCGATTATCTCACCAGCCTTGTCAGAATTGCAGAGGATGGCCTCCTTCTCGGAGCGCTGCGCGGGTCCCGAGAGCGGGCCGTGGCGGAGCCAGGCGGCCAGCGTGAAGCGGTGCGTCAGGTTTGCCGGCACGGCGGCGTCGGGCACCAGGGCGGCCCGAGTGCCGTCGAAGAGGAAGACGCGCTCGCCGGTCGAGTCGGGCCCCTCGGGGACCTCCGTGGGCAGCCCCTGGGTCCAGGACCCCGGCAGCTCCGGCGACGGCAGCAGGTCGACTCCGCCGGTCGAAGCGCCTTCAGGGAGGGAAAAAGAAGAAGTGTTCAAAAGAAAATGAAGAGAAAACGCGTGATGGAGCCGCGCCATTGAGTTGAGAAGGAACGCTGCGGCCGCGGGCGCTACGAACGGTCGGCGCATGCCGGAATCGCGGTCCAGAGGTGGCCGCCGCTTCAAAATCGATCGCCCGGCACGGCAGTTGAAACGACGGTGCCCGAGTTCACTCGGCAGTGTACGTTGGGTAGTCCGCGGTGAGTCGATCAGCCGGCAGGTCGCTTGCGGTGGGGGCAAAGTGTGGGGGACCCACCACTCTCAAAATCTTCTGAAGAAGTCTGGCCAGCGTAAAAGACGAGGCCAAATATTCGCCAGAGGGTGTACCTAGTGCTCCCTCGAAGTGGTACATGCTCAGTGTAATTTGGACATTCCCGAAAAAAGTGGCTTCCCTAGGTAAAAAAAAAAAGTGATGTTATCGCCATACACGTTGTATTGCAAGGCACCATTACCGACGAAAGTGTTGAAGGTTTTACATTTGTGCATATGTACTTGTACACTATTGCCAACACAGGTGTCTGCGCAAAGAATAAAAGGGCTCCGTCAAAGAGAGAGTCCTCATGTTTTTAAAAATCCGAGTCAACACCGCTTATCTCCGCTCTCAGGATCCATCCAAGAGGCACCCCCCCCCCCCCGCCTCATTGTGTCACGATATTCCTGCCGACCATTATCCCCCGCCGGCTTCTACGGCAGACAGGCTCCGCGAGTCGCTACCGACGGCCAGACACTCGAGGGCGCGCACTTCTGTTGCCGACGCCAGACGGCCCAATCGTGCTTTATAACACGCCCGCGGAGTGTGCGAGTGATTACGGCCAAGGAGAAGCGAGGTTACGACTTCTCCCCCTCCCCCGCCCGCCTCAGGGGAAAAGCCACGCGGAGGCGCACACCGCCTCTGAATGCTGATGTCCAACCGTTGCGGCAGGTACGGCACCGACATCGCATTGTTCCACTTCCCCTCCACCCACTGCCATACACTAAGGGGACCCTTTGCTTAGTGTTGTTATGCACCAAGTCTGTGGAATGCTAAAACCTATTTTTATTGAAAGGCTCTTCTTGAATGATTCAATTTCATGGAGATTGTGACATTATTTTACCAGTTTGTATAGCAGTAGCTTCCCTGGGTTCCACCGATAGTCAGTTGCCTATGTTTATATTTTGGTTTTATCTTTGATTTATTGTATTGTGATTTTTCGGTGTTTTATGTTTATTTATATATTATTACCAATTTTAAAGACGCTTTATAACACTGAGTTTCTGTTACTATTCTCATCATTATTATTGGTATTTTAATATTGTTTCTTATTATTAGTCGAAAGTCCTATTCGGCTCGCGTACAGCGTAGCATCTCCAAGTGATCCTACTTGATTTGCTGCTGCTGCCTGCAGACTGATGGCAGGTGCTGGGTGGGTGCTGGGTGAGGTATGCATGTATGTATGTAGAACTTTTGGCGCACCGTACAAAGTCAACCATGCTCATCAGAGGTGCGGGGGGGGGGAAGGACAAACTAAACACACAAAAAAGCAGTTCGAAAGAAATCGTTTAAAATCTATTTGATTTAAAAGTGCATAGCTCCAGTGGCTTCCTATATCGGAAGGAGGTGCGTTCCAGACGGCCACAGCAGCGCGCGATGCGGTGACCGTCTCTGTTCGATGGGAAAAACTATTGAAACGAAACGTTTTTTTAAATTTTATTTCACCAGGTAAGGCCCACCGATCTGTGTCGTTCTCTTTCAGGAGCGACCTGGCCACAAACGAAAGCTCAACCAAGTGGCTTATCACGTGGAAATGTATTGCACTAATAAAAAGCGGAGGACGCGGGAAAAAAAAATCCACACGACCACTCGGGGGAGAGAGACATGCAAATTCAAAAAATAGCCGAAATCCGCCGCCGGGAGGATGACCGGAGTTCGCTTGGATGGTTCATGGTCCTTGATGTGATCAGCCAGGTATTGGCGGTTCATTTGCGGGCAAGCACTTTGTGCGCGATGAATGCGACCTCGTAACGGCGCTGCAGCGACGTGGGGTCCCCTCTCACCGCAGAGCTTGCGGCGCGAGTTCTCCGCGTAGGTCTCTCGGTCGCAGCCCTTGCCGATGTGCGCCGTCTGGAGCTCGACGGTGGCGCGTGCCGACGCAACGCGGCGCCCGCACGTCTCCAGCCGGGCACCAGGGAAGAGTGCTCGTCCGCCGCTGCCCGGATCGTACTCCACACGCTTGTTCCAGCCTGGCCCGGATGGAAACACGCGTAGCACACGCAGCAACGCGCACACACAAATATTTATTACATTTTTTTTTCTTTTCATTTTGACAGGTAAGGCCCACCGAGCGAATTAGCTCTTTTTTCAGAAGTGACCTGGTGACCTGGTCATCGCAAACGACACGGCAACTGAGTGGCCTGTTGCGTGTAAAATTACGGCGGAAGACAAATACTCTAAACGCATGTTTCTAAAATGTGGAGGGAAAAACCGGAGGACCCGGAGAAAAAAAACCACACAGCCATGAGTAGAGAGACACACAAACTCCAAAACATACATGCGAGGTAGTTAAGCATCTTGCCACTGTGGCGCCCTGATACACGTCAGGCATGCATTCCCAAAAGGTGCGATGACGAACTTCGAATCAAAGCAATTTACAGGGTAGGTGGAGGCGAAAGCAGAGAGGTCACAGATGCGAGAACGGGCGGACGATGCTGTCAGCGACGTGCGTGCCGAGGCGATCCAAATCGTGTAGCGGTATTAATAAAGGGGCGACGTGTTTGCGAAATGACGTAAAACGCGGGACAGACATGCACTGGGGTATTACTGTACAATTCACATGTACGTAGACGCACACGGATTCACGCGTAAGTACGAACACAAGAAAACGGCACGGATGCGCCGAAAGCCTTCACAGACAGTCAGGGGAAGGGCAGAGTGGGGGGTGGGCAAATGCCATCCTCCACGAATTCAACATGACACACAGCGAGCCCTCACCCTGCCAGCCGGGCCTGCACACAGGCCGCACGCCGATGGTGACCAGGGCGTCCTCGGCGGAGCGCCGCTTGCCGCAGTCGTACGCCGCCACGGTCAGCTGCTGTTCGCCGTGCAGCTCGTATGACAGGCGCTCTGTGGCGCGGATCACTCCTGGGCGGGGGGGGGGGGGGGGTGGGAGCAGCGCTGTTAGTCAGCTTTCCTTCCCCAGCACCTCCGATCAGTACGGTTGGCTCCGTACGTGTCGGTGGCGGGTTAACGACACGTTTATATTGCGACGTGATCTAACCCAACAACAAAACAACAACAACAACAACAAAAACCCCGTTATCAAAGTGCGCAATTCACAGTCGCTAAAAGCCACCGTCGAGAATTAAAAAACCGGCGACGCCTGTTCGTCTCGAGCTTCCAAATTGGGATTTCTGCCACCGCTGTCGCTGCCCGGCACCGCCGCCGCCGCCATACCGTCGGAGTCGATGGAGAAGGGCGCGCCCGCGGTGAGGATCTGGTAGTCGCAGACGCGGCCGAAGAGCGGCGAGCAGTCCCCGTCGCTCGCCTCGACGCGCACGAGGGCGGCGCCGGGCTCCGCGGCCTCGTCCACGCTGGCACTGTACTCGCCCTGCAGGAACTCGGGCGCGTGGCGGTTCACGCTCTTTACCCGCACGTGCACCATGGCCCTGCGGGGGAGGGGGGAGTGCACAAAGAGGTGGGGGGGGGGGAGTGTAGCGGTTAGCGCTACGCTGCGCTACGAACCTGGCGACCTGGGTTCGATTCCCGATCATGGCCAACACCGGTGATGATTATCTGAACCGGTCCTGGGCCTCCCCTAGGTCGACTCAGCTTCAAATGAATACCTGGTGCAATGTGTAAACATCGCCACTGAGGAGACAAAGGCGGCCGGGCGTGGTGTTGGCCACCGACCCCCTCGTGTGCCGTGCCAGCCTTTATAGGTGCTCACTAACAGCACTTGCCCCTACAGTCGGTTCAGGCTATACGGTGGATCTTTGTCTTTTTTGTATGTATATGTATTGGCAGGGGAGGGGGCACAGGTGGTGCATCGGCCAGTCATCTCAGTCAGTCGACCCGTGGAACCTGGGTCTGCCCCGTGACCTCCTGCCGGCGGGCGTTCGACACTTCACATGGCCTTAACATGCACATAGCCTGGCACAAGCGCCGCAGTGACGTCACCGCCATTTAGTGGCGAATGTCGGTTGTGGTTGTTATGTGGGGGAGTGGTACTTGTAGAGGTTAGCGCTACGCTGAACTATGAACTCCGGAGACTCTGAGTGCGATTCCCGCTCACGGCCGACACCAGTGACGATTATCTGAACCGGTCCTGGGCCTCCCCTAGGTCGCCTCGGCCTCAGATGAGTACCTGGTGCGGTGTGTAAACATCGCCACTGGGGAGACAAAGGTGGCCAGGCGTGGTGCTGGCCACCCACCCCCTCATGTGCCGTGTCGGCCTTCACAGACGCTGTGCAACGACGATGATGGGGAGGTGTGTGTGCGTCGTAAGTGCTTGGGGAGGAGACGGCTGATGAGATGGTATAAAGAGGTGATGTGGTGGCTCAGAGGGCGGAGCAATGAGCAGCCCACCCCATGATTAACCCGCGTAGCGAGCCGACAGTCTCAACTGCACGAAAATAAACAAACTGATCGTGTTAAATTGAATTCTGGAATGAGTTTGGCTCAATTCCACGTCTGAGAATGGCATGTGACAAATATGGGGCCTGTGGGTAATTTCTCTCCCCCTAATGTGTGGACTAGAGATCACCTGAAGGGGTTTCAGAGGTAGTTCTGGAATATTCACTTCAGTGGACCGTACTCTTAACACGAAGGGTGGCACTGCTCTGTGAGAGATCTCAATGAACACTCCATCCCAAGATGTGACACCAACAGCAACATCAGACATCTGTGAAAAAGAAGAGCGTCACAGCTCATCGGATTCCTCCTGGATAAATAAAGATTCTGATTCTGCCATCCAAGTACTAACTAGGCTCGACCCTGCTTAGCTTCCGAGACCGGATGAGATCGGACGGATTTAGGGTGATATATATGGCCGTAGGCTAAAGATTCTGATTCTGACAATTGGGATAACATTTGGAAGAAGTATAAAGAGTACACAAAAAAATTCAAAAAAAGCATGTTATTATTTTGCGTTTGTCGTGTGTCACTAACGTTCGCCAGGACGCACCACACAATGCCTTCGTCAAGTGACGAGAATTAATACCAAACCCGGAGGTCGGCCAGTCCATTAGCGACGCCTCGCAAACCTGGAGCGAATGAGCTTCTCACTTCCATTTAATGGCTGTTTCCCCTCAATTGAGATTTAATAATAAAAAAAACACAACAATAGTCATCGCGTAAACAATTCAGAGTGTAAATGCTCTCCATTGTTGTTCTACCTCGTCCGGTCCCGTGCTTTGTTTTTAGTTGCTTCGAGTAAATATTCCGCCTCGGCTAATTCATTATTCGAGTTGATTCTAATTTCAGCGAGCGATTATGGCAATCCACATTTAATTCTCCCGTTTTGCAAATTGCTTTGCCATTCTAGTATATGGCTTTGACGACACAGGTCTGCCTTGAAAAAGAGACTTGGGAGTCTTAATGGGTCCCCACCCACATACACGCAGAACGCTGTTATCATGCCACTGCTGCACGAGTGCCTCTCCGCACATCGTTGGGTCATGGAGGTTATTTCACCCATATTTCACCGCACTGACCAGTGCTGGTCGTTGAAGGTGCAGAAGACGCACGAGTACAACACAACAATCGATTTCTAGCATGAGCTCTCCGATATGTTTGCGGGTCGTTCCGCACGATCTCTGACATTCATCTCCAAGTGCTGGGAGCGATCGCATTCGAGAACTATGCACCACAGCCACAACAACACACGCATTCCCTTTGCCGCCAACAAAGTACCGCCTATGTCACCCTGTGATGCATCGCGGTCACACATTCAAACACTATCCAAAGCCTCAAAAGCCTGTTTAGCTCCCGCTATTGATGGCATCGGGTGCATGAGACCAATGGGCTCTCAGCTAGTCAAAATAAAGATCTTGACTCTCGCTACTGCCCGACACACATTAAACACCTACTCCCAATCGGTTACCTGGCATGTGATCGGGCCTCGTATGATGAGGCTCATCTGATGGGATTCGGGTCTTAAGAAACCAATGCCACCGTATTCTATTAATCTTCGTCTGCTATAGACGGGACTAAATTAAGCAAACTGTGCTCTTTCCCATAGACGCAGATATAATTAGGTTTTGGCCAACATAAGCATGCCTCATAAGCATGCCTGCCACCTTCGCAATACACAAATAGCCTTTAGAAATCACATCAGACTGCTTGATAATTAAAAATGAAGGCGCATTTTAATTACAGAGTGTGGGATAACCTAAGACCTGAGTTAACGTGCATAATTAATCAAGAAAAAACCCACCTTATGAAACATTCGGTAGACACACAACGGCGATCAATAAAAAAGAGAGTGAATTATGAAACGCATTAAGTTCTGATGTGTACATTTTTATATAGTTTGCAGTCAATTCGACGAAAGTCGATAGATGTTTTAAGTGGCGTGAAAATGCTTCTGGAGTTTTCCCACACTCCTCTTTTTTTTTGGGGGGGGGGGGGGGGCGTAGGGAAGTGGTGGGGAGTGGGGAATGTTTCGACAGCCAAAAAAGTCAATCAAACAATTTAGTTGAAGGGGCATGGCCCTCGCTTAGGGCTTCGAAGAATGGTTGAGAATTCGGGGCTGGCTCTCTCTGGGGACCGAGTAAGATTATTTTTCTTTTTGTAAAGCGTAATTTGAGACAAAACACATGGGGTGGGGGGGGGGGGGGAAGCACATAAGGAAAAAAAGGACCGGAGCGGACGACACGACCGACCGAGGCGCTAAGTTTGCAGTTTGAAAAGCAAAACACAAAGCAACTTTTCCCAAACCGTGGTGGGGAAATTTTTTTTTACTTAATTGGAGCTACATTATTTTGCCCATCTCCCCCACCCCCCCTCCCCCCCCCCATGGATCCAAGCATTGACAATTAACGAGAGAAAAAAATATATAATCTATTTGTGTATATTTTTGTTCGTTGGGCACGGCGTACGCAATTTGGACGGAATGTGCTTGCGTGGGTTTTGTTGATGCCTGCGAGCGGTTAACGTTGAGAAGCGAGCGATTTAACGCCGGATCGTTGTTTTTCTCGGCAGATCTTTTTCGAGAGGCTGAGGACGTCCTTCTCGCGCGCAAACAAAGCTCACGCCGTGTTCAAATGTAGCGGGCTGGACGCTATGTTCTGCTTCACTTTTTATGCGTTTTTTTGGAGGTAAAAATTCAACGAATTCATGTATATAAACGCAATCGTGCTCGCGGCCACTCGGTTTTTTTTTTGGGGTTGTGCCACGCGTTGAGCATTTCAACGTTGAGCATTTGGGGTGCAGTCGTGGAGGGATGTTAACTACCTCGCTTGGTATGCAGGAAGTCGTGAGTTTGATCCCGACCCTGACGTCTGCTGCATATCTGGAGTGTGCATCTTCTGTCCCCATGGTCGCGTGGATTTTTCTCCGGGTCCTTCGGTTTTTCCCCCCACATTTATAAGCGTGCGTTTAGAGTATTTGGCTGCTGCCATAATTTTTCACGCAATAAGCCACTCAGTTGAGCTATAAATTGGTGGCCAGTTCGCTTCTGAATAAGAGCTATATAGCTCAGTGGGTTTTACAAGGTAGAATAAACAGATCAGTAGTTTACTTTCAACTCTCAAGCTAATTCACCGCTGTGAAGATGGCCGTAGCATTAGTAGTGCGTCGCAAAAGCTTGCTCAATGTGCAACCCGGCCCGGAAAAAAAACCCACATTTAGAATTAATAAACATTAACACATTTTTTTTTTAATGATGAAGGCCAATCTAAGAAACTAATTTTAAACTTAATACATGCCCTTGGTATATGGTTTCAAACCGAGGCGCAGCTCACTCGGTATATTTAGCTGGGCCCTAACCCTAAAAATAATGGCTTCCATTAAAAAGAATATTAATGAATACTGCTGGAAAATATTTATTGGCAAAGGATAATAAAGCACAAATATGAAATGCAACCGCTATGCATCTCTCAGTGTTGCGTACTGTAATGCAATTGGATCCCACGAAATACGTTTGGTGAAATTTTTGGAGCGATTACATTTTCTTCACAGGGGTAATGAATGCGCGAACGATTTTCCAGGCATACAAATGCGTCTCTGTGGGCCCGAGCGTAAATCCAGCAAGCAGTCAAGACATCCATGCAGGAGGACAGCACTGTATAGTGCACTCGACACAGAACACTGTTGTATTTTTGCAAGTGCAAGTTTAAATATAATTGCTTCTTTTTCAAATACTCTGGAACGAAAAAAAAATACGTTAGCACGATAAAATTCTAAAGCGGCCATTTACCGGGCGGCTTGACTGCACGGGCACGCCCAGCAATTTTTCCACCACTAGCACCGTAAATGAAAAATCTATTCATGCAGCAACACCATACCACCGCACACCCGTGTAATATACCCTGGATAATTTTTTTCCACCGTTATTTATTCTTTTTTTTTATTACTGGGTGTAGACAGTGCTTCAGGGATCTGTTCACTGGGACATCAAGCTGTGTGCCAAGAGGCCCTGTGCCAAGAGGCCCTGTGCAGACAGAAG